GAATGATCCTACGGGCCACCGCACTCGCCTTCCGAAACAAAAGAAAAGACTGAACCGTCTGCCAGCGGCAATGTCACTTCCAGGCTGCATGCTTACAGCGGACAGCCCGAGCACAGTCCACATTCCACCAGGAAATGCACTTCTGCGTTCCCCGAGAGGAAGAGCGAGGAATAGAGCGGAGGGCAGCGTCATAGACAGTGTCATGAAAAAGAAGGAGGGAGCGAGGGAGAGGCAGTACGGAGAGGTCGGAAATAGTAGCACGGAGAGTAAAGAGGCGCCAGTCAGCCTCGACAAACTGCCACCTAGGGAAGGAGAGAGGAGGGTGAAAAGAGAAAAAAGTAACAAGGATAGGAAAATGGTCACTGCCATGGAGGTCATCAAGGACCCGCCACCCGAAATCTAAGGAAAGGGATGACGAGCACAGAGAAAGATCGAGACAGGAAAGGGATTTAGTCCACGAGTCCAAATGAGTGGGCTCACCAGAATTAAGAAGGGACAGGGAAGAAGAGAGGATGAAAGGTTGTAGGAGGCGATCCCGGGTGTTTGTCAGCACATCACCCCAAAGGGCATGACGACAACTGAAATCACCCAGCAGGAGCACAGGCTTCGGCAAGGAGTCTAGGAGGTGTTTAAGATCGGGAAGAGAAAGTGGGACAGTGGGGGGGAGATAAATAGAACAAACCGTGTACCATCTATGCACAAAAACATGGGCAGCAGAACAGTGGAGAGGCGAGGAGAAAAGTAAGAGGACAAAGGGAACTGCTGAGCGAATCAAGAGAACAGAAGAATTATGGGCCCCAGCAACAGCTGGGGGGGGGAGAGAAAAGAATAGGCACAGAAGTGACCAGGACGAGCACCAAGTATCTGCTCCTGGAGACAGATACAATGGGGCGAAAACTGTGAAATTAGAAGTTGGAGGTCAAAGAAATTGGCGTAATATACACGGATGTTCCATTGAAGAATAGACATCGGCAAAAAGAGAGAGGAGAACAACAGACAGCAAAGAAGAAACAAAGGTGAAAGAGGAACACAGCACGTTAAAGAAGCACAGGGTCAGGATCAGGGTCAGTGAAGTCAGGGTTAGGGGGCATGGGTAAACTGAGTAAAGAAGGAGGAAAGAAGCGGGAGGACAGACCAGAGGTGGACGAGCAGGGACTGGAGGAGCAGAAGGAGGAGGAGAAAGAGGGGCAGAAAGAGGGGAGTGCACCTCAGCAAGGATAGTAACCGAGATGGAACCGGGGGCTAAAGAAACCCCCACAGTAGGAACAGGTGGCTCCAGCACCGAAGCGGGAGGGAAAGGAACGATAGAATCAGAGATAGGGGCGAAGAAGAAAGCGAAGCCTTCTTACCGACCGGGGAGGAGGAAGGAGAGGAGCCAGGTTTCCGCTTCCAACTCAAAGAGACAGGCGTCCCAGCAGCAATGTACTGGGCAACAGACTCCAGCGTCTCGGTAGGAGGAGGAGAGCAAGAGCGAAGAACACGACCACCAGGAGAGCAACGGACATCGGCCCGCACAGTCAGGCGGCGTGGAGAGCCAAGAGACGGAGGAGAATGACAGGAAGGAGGACCAGAGGGAGAGGAGAAAGAAGACACAGGAGACATGCCAGACTGGGTAGAAAGAAGGGGAGCCCTAGACGGAGAACCAGGAGGGGGACCCTCCGGGACTGAATGGAGAGAAACAGGGGAGGTGGTGGTGGGCGTGTCCAGGTCTAAGGCTTGGAAACGGTTGCGAGACTAAGGAAGGTGGGAAGGACAAGGAGAGGAAAAGTACACCACGCGAGCGTAGGAGACGCCAGCGAAAGAGGGGAGACGATGAACTTGGCGCCGAGCGTCAGGAAAAGACAAACGGTCCTGGTGCTTCAAGTTGAGGACGGACGTCTCAAGTTTGTAACGTATACACGCACGGGAGAAGGTAGGGTGGGCCTCACTGCAATTGAGGCAGCGGGCCTGGGGAGAAGTGCACTCCAACTTAGAGTGATCCTCGCCTCCACACAAGGGACAGAGAGAGAGACAGGACTAGAGCATTTGAGGGCACCATGCCCAAACCTCCAGCACTTATTGCAGAGCCAAGACGGTCCGGTCTGGGCCTAAACCGGGTCCTGTAGTGGGGGTTACAGATCCCGGTCTTCCAGGACGGTCCGACTTAGGGGCCTGTTCGCACACCCCATGAGCCTGGGTAAGAGAAGTCGAGTTGTTATCCATGCAGCAAACCAATATCCAAAGAATGGGACCTGGAACCAAGGGATACCACCTACCAGGCCAGCCAGGAAGGCCGAGCGCGGGCCAGTGCAGAAAAGGCGCGTCGTCCCCAGCGGTGTTCCCCCTTTTCAACAGGGGAGTCCTACTACATCGGCCATTCTCCCACACTGGTGCTAATACCCTACTCCCCCTATCGCCCCTGCCTGGACACCCAACCATCCACTCAGGGCGGCCCCTCACGGGCGACACCTCCAGCGGGTGGTCCGATGGCTCACAAGGCCCCTACGTGGTGCCCTTCAGCACATACACTACCCAAAGAGGGGGGCAGGAGAGGGGGGCAAAGGCAACCCACACTGGTCCCAGGGAGGTGTATGTGAGCCCCTCATCACGACAAGGAGGCACCACGGAAGGGGGGATTGGATTAAGGGTCTTATGACTTACAATCCTTTTGAACAGTCAATGTGGTCTAGCAGGTTAAGTACTGGATACACTAAGGTGCATTAAACCTTGGCCGTCTGGATTCGAGTCCTTCATGGATGAGGAGTTTTCTGTTGCATGTTGACTTGGAGATCATTCAAGCTTGTTCGCATTTGTGTTACTCACGTGGCCCCACATCCGAGGTGATTCGATGAAATATGTCCCCCAAATTGACCACCGAATGGTTGTTGAGGATTGTGTTAATGGTCTTACAACTTCCAGTCCTTTTGAACAGGCAGTGTGGTCTAGTGGGTTAAGTACTGGATACGCTCAGGTGTATGTAGCCCTGGCTATCTGGGTTCGAATCCTTCGGGGATGAGTCGATGAGTGGTGATTCAATGAATTACTCAGTTGTCATTTGAGGTTGTGCTGGAAACAACCTTTTAGTACTGCAACAAAATACGTTTTTTGTACACCCAGAAAAAGTCTTAATTGAACTAGTTTAGTTGTTTTTTGTTGGGTGACACTGATGAATAAATACGAATGTTGGTTGAGAACAAAATGATTTGATTATCAGGAAAATTTCCTTACATATGAAAATTGTTAAGGTGGATTTGTTGACAGTGATGGCGAGGAACATTCTTCCGGAGAACGAGAAAACATTCATGTATGGTGATTCCATCTGCTGGCATTAAACCCAACATAAATATGTTGCCATTAAATTCTTATCATCAACAGCCCCCAGCCATTCGGCACTTGACAGATTTCGATACAGAGCAATGATGATTGAAACATTCATAGCTCAATCATCCATATCATAACCTGTCTGTTGAGAGACAGGTTAAGCTGGAGACTGAGGCATCAGCACAGGTTGCTGGTTTTGAATGAAGAGACGGTCTGATTCATCAAAGGATTACATCTCACAAACTTATGAAAAAATATACACCAAAATGCAATTTTCATAACCACCAGTCAGCGGAAGCGTGGCTAGACACCCATAAAGATGCTAAAGGGCGGATGAACTTGTGTTAAGTCAACGGCCATTTAGTAACCAGTTTTTAGGCCTCTTGGGATTGATTCTGGTTAAACAAACACCAATGTACCATGATTAACTACCCCATTTTAATTTTTTTAATTCCTCACAAACGTAAATAGGGTCGTGAGGAAATGTTACTCATTATATATATTAGGAGAATTAAATTAATATGAAGGATAAACTATAAATTCTCCAGTGACAGAAGGTGATTTTCGCCATTTATATCACTGTCGGTAGCTCCCCCCACCCCCACCCATTTTTTTCCTTGGCAATAACTTTTTTCTTGCATGAATAAAGAAAAAATCCTCTTACGACATACAAATATGTGGCTTCTGGAAATTTTGAGCCATAAATCATATCTCTAGCATCAGTGGTTAGCAAGTGTTATGTCTCAACCTACCAGTTCAGACTAGAATGCAGTGTGAACTGGTATAACTTTTTAGTGAGTTGACTAAGATTAGAATTTGAGCGGTTTCGTGATATTGGCATATTCTGCTCCCTGTGTGGACTTTACCTCTGAAGAGAAAATTCAGGACTTAGTCAAATTTCATGGTTTATGGACTTTATGAGATTCCTGACTGCCCAATTTCCAGTCACTGTAACTAACGTTTGAAGACGAGTAAACGACTGCATTTATCAAGCCATTGTGAAATTTAACTTTCGTAGAGAGTTCTTAACTTTGTCATAATTCGAGTCATTGTGGATTTGAGTAATTTGAGAAGAGTTTAGACTTTGTCATTTGCCAGTCCAGTTAGTACCTAGTTTTTCTGAAGGCAAAGTGATAGTTCACTGCCTTATTAATGTTTATGCTGATACATTATACCCCTTTCTGGTTATGTAACGTCACTATCGACCATGTTCACAATCTTTCAGCCTGTCTTGAGTTGACTAGTGTACCAATGTTGTTAGGTGATTTTTGCCAAGAGACATCTAGCTGCTATGACTTGTGCTTTATGTTAATTTACTTCACTGTTATTGGTTGTTAATATGAATAAAGAGATTTATGTATATAAGACGCAGTGTCATGTAAATAAGTTCGCCCCAGTAAATTGGTGGATTTTACTTAGACGTTCACTTTACCCTAGACCTATTTCAAATAAATTATTTGAGGCCAGGTCGCTCAATGATTTATTAGGGAAAGTTATATTCCATGATCCTTGCTGTTGATCATGACGCGAAAGCGAGTTATGGCCATCCAGGCCATTTTGACCCCATGTGGATGCATTCCGAGTGGTTGCAACAATTGTGGCAATCACCCTAAATCAATATACGCACACAATCTCAACGGTTTTCCTTAGTTTACCCCTCCCTTGATAAGAAAACGAGCCATGTATTCTATGGTAATCACCTTAAACCCCAGGTCGAGTTCCTTGAGTGTTGCCCTGATGATACGGGTGAGTAGATTCATCCTCTCACACTCCTGGAAGGCCACTACCACGTATGGCGTCCGCTCCTCTACCTTCCCGGTTATGTCGGTCATGTTAAATTCTTCTGGCAGCTTCTCCAGGATCTCGTCCAGTGTCTGTTTCACCTGTAGGGCATAAGGCAGGTGAGAGCAAAGATAAGAAGCGAGGTTACACAGGGAAAAGCATTTACCACAATCGTCTGTTTTGGTAATATGGGAGTACTTGATTATTTGGGAGATGATTATTTCTAGCATTAAAGATAAAAATATTGTTCTGGACAGATAAGGTATGGATATGAAAAATTATAAATTTTCTTCAAGTGTTAAAGTGTGCATATTAAATAATATCAAACAATAACATTATAGCAAGAAATAACCAATCATAGGTCAGAGAATTAATTAGATTTCATGAAAGCATTTTCACCAAATAAACATATAACAGAGCCAGCAAGGAACGAAAATATTATCTATGTGATCTTCATGAACAATGAAGAAATAATGAGGGAACATAACAGTTTCAGATACTACATACTCAGACCACAAACTCACTGAAGTTCAAACTATCGTCAATACTCGTAACATGTCCACAAGAACTAACAAGCGAGAAGGACTACTCAACAAATTCAGTTTTAACAATAAGGATTGACTAGGGAAAATAATCACAAAACTTGCCAACATCCAACAGTAGTATCATCCATGAGTCTCTGGAGACTATGGAGCTTTGCTCTGGTTATCGGTCTGGAGTGGTCTTTCCAGGGTGCAAAGCCAAAGAAGGTTAATATGGGGGAGAAGCTGTCACCCATGCAGCAGGTCCCCCCTCTCCACGGTGCCGAAAGTCTCCAATGGAAAGGCAAACGCCAGTACGATTGGTTCCAGCGCCGTCACAGGAACTGTCAGAACGAGGTTGAAGGCAACAGCGAGCTGCACTTGGGGTTCCAACTTCGGAGCCCCTAGTGCAACTTTCCTTGAAGTTCGTAAAAGAAGGCACAGGGACTCCAAACTCGTAGACCACCATAATTGGGGCCGAAAACGGACCACCCCAGCAAGGATAGGAACGATCCCAGCCTCCCGAAAGAGAGCTTGGGCTGCACGAGCATCAGGAGAACGTCCGAGTCTCCTCACCTACGGGTTCCAGACAGAGATCGTCACAGACCCCTTTCACCCGACGCCGGCTTCCTTCATGACCAAGCAGAAAGATGAGTAATATATATTAATTACAACAATTACTTAATATGTATATAAATATATATTATTTAATTAATATAATATATTAATTATTATTATTATTATAATAATAAAATTCATTAATAATTATTACTCTTCCTTCTGCTGGGTCATGAAGGAAGCCGGCCTCGGGTGAAAGGGGGCTGTGACGATCTCTGTCTGGAACCCATAGGTGAGGGACTTAGACGTCCTCATCGTGGGGGTTCGTGCCGCCCAAGCTCTCCTTCGAATTACAACCCGTCCTCGACTCAAGTCCATTACATTCAGCGGTCAACCCCATACACGCATTCATAAATTTTAACATGCTGTTCATTCAAAACGGGAATTTTCTCAAGTATAAATTAATATTATAATATATTTGACTATTGTGTATATATAGGCATAGGATAGGTGAGGTTAGGTGTTTAGGTTCTGTTGGCGATTATTTGTATTTGTAGTACGTGGGTGAAGCATTTATAGCGTTGTGATTCGAACAAAATTCGTCAGTGAAGCACTTGTTCCGGATATGTTCGAACGTCAGCAGTTGTGAGTCGTGTGTAAACCGCTTTTCATTCATAAACAGGGGGTTTGGCGGGTGCATGGAATCACTTTTGGATCTTTGTTTGGAGGACGGGCTGGATTATTTGTATTTGTAGTACGTGCGTGAAGCATTTATAGCGTTGTGATTCGAACAAAATTCGTCAGTGAAGCACTTGTTCCGGATATGTTCGAACGTCAGCAGTTGTGAGTCGTGTGTAAACCGCTTTTCATTCATAAACAGGGGGTTTGGCGGGTGCATGGAATCACTTTTGGGTCTTTGTTTGGAGGACGGGCTGAAAAATTAATGAATATGTCTGTGGTTTCGACCGCTGTATGTAATGGACTTAAGTCGAGGACGGGTTGCAAGAAACAGAATGAAAACTGCTTCGTTGGAGACACTGAAAAGCTTCAAGACAATATGAGGTCTTCGCAACCCGTTCTCGCATACGACAGCCCGTCCTCCAAACAAAGATCCAAAAGTGCTTCCATGCACCCGCCAAACCCCCTGTTTATGAATGAAAAGCGGTTTACACACGACTCACAACTGCTGACGTTCGAACATATCCGGAACAAGTGTTTCACTGACGAATTTTGTTCGAATCAAAACGCTATAAATGCTTCACCCACGTACTACAAATACAAATAATCGCCAACAGAACCTAAACACCTAACCTAACCTAACCTATGCCTATATATGCACAATATGCTAATATATTATAATATTAATTTATACTTGAGAAAATTCCCGTTTTGAATGAACAGCATATTAAAATTTATGAATGCGTCTGTGGGGTTGACCGCTGGATGTTATGGACTTGAGTCGAGGACGGGTTGCATACGAAGATCCAAGCTCTTTAATCCAGCCGTCAAACCCCCTGTTTATGAATGAAAAGCGGTTTACACACGACTCAGCAACCCGTCCTCGACTCAAGTCCATTACATCCAGCGGTCAACCCCACAGACGCATTCATAAATTTTAACTTGCTGTTCATTCAAAACGGGAATTTTCTCAAGTATAAATTAATATTATAATATATTAGCATATTGTGCATATATAGGCATAGGATAGGTTAGGTTAGGTGTTTAGGTTCTGCTGGCGATTATTTGTATTTGTAGTACGTGGGTGAAGCATTTATAGTATTGTGATTCGAACAAAATTCGTCAGTGAAGCACTTGTTCCGGATATGTTCGAACGTCAGCAGTTGTGAGTCGTGTGTAAACCACTTTTCATTCATAAACAGGGGGTTTGGCGGGTGCATGGAATCACTTTTGGATCTTTGTTTGGAGGACGGGCTGCGACTCAGAACTGATGACGTCCGAACACTTCCGGAACAAGTGCTTCGCTCAAGTCCTCTGTTCGAACCCCAATTCTATAAATGTTTCATCCACGAACTTATAAATACAAATAATTACCAACAAAACAAATCCACAAGGGCCGTGAAGAGAATTTGAACCTACCTAAACACCTAACCTAACCTAACCTAAGCTAAACTAAACATACAATTTATATGTATAAGAATATTAATGTATATATGAGAACAAACCAATTTTTAATACACAGTATGTTAAAATTGATGAATGCTTCTGGGGAGGACAGCCGCTGCTTTAAACAGCCTGGTGTGAGAACGGGCTGGTCTTCGAAAAGGTAGTGGATAATTGCATAATGTTTAACAGTGATACATTCAAATCATGTGATTTCCTGTCTTGAATACTACTCGGTACTCACTTCCCCTTTCAAAGCAGGTGAGATTTCTGAAATAGCAGGAATACAGTGAACAAATGCAGCAAGCATAGACACAAAATGAACATAATAATAATTGATTCTCCCTCCCCCCAATCCCCCTCACAACAACAATGCATACATGAGACCATTATAACAACTGATTGTAATACATAGTTTGTTCCAAATATCGCCTTTTAATAAAAATATTTTTTAAATCAGTCGTTATAGGTAATATTCTGATGCTCATCGGCGTGTTTCTTCCTTGGTGAGGGAGGAGGAAGGTGGTGGGTGATAACTATAACAGCAGTCACCCCGAGAGTTCACAGTGTAAGGTTATACAGCGCGTGCTCTCATGGCGTTGAGTCTGGGGTCCTTAAGCGTCAGTCCATATTTATATTTTCACAATGTGAAAGGCCAGCAAGACATCGAGAGTGTCCTAGTGGTGTGTGGTGAGTGTCCTAGTGGTGTGTGGTGAGTGTCCTAGTGGTGTGTGGTGAGTGTCCTAGTGGTGTGTGGTGAGTGTCCTAGTGGTGTGTGGTGAGTGTCCTAGTGGTGTGTGGTGAGTGTCCTAGTGGTGTGAGGTGAGTGTCCTAGTGGTGTTAGGTGAGTGTCCTAGTGGTGTGTGGTGAGTGTCCTAGTAGTGTGTGGTGAGTGTCCTAGTAGTGTGTGGTGAGTGTCCTAGTAGTGTGTGGTGAGTGTCCTAGTGGTGTGTGATGAGTGTCCTAGTGGTGTGTGGTCAGTGTCCTAGTGGTGTGTGGTCAGTGTCCTAGTGGTGTGTGGTGAGTGTCCTAGTAGTGTGTGGTGAGTGTCCTAGTGGTGTGTGGTGAGTGTCCTAGTGGTGTGTGGTGAGTGTCCTCGTAGTGTGAGGTGAGTGCCCTAGTGGTGTGAGGTGAGTGTCCTAGTGGTGTGTGGTGAGTGCCCTAGTGGTGTGAGGTGAGTGTCTTAGTGGTGTGTGGTGAGTGTCCTAGTAGTGTGAGGTGAGTGTCCTAGTGGTGTGAGGTGAGTGTCCTAGTGGTGTGAGATGAGTGTCCTAGTAGTGTGAGGTGAGTGTCCTAGTGGTGTGAGGTGAGTGTCCTAGAAGTGTGAGGTGAGTGTCCTAGTGGTGTGTGGTGAGTGTCCTAGTAGTGTGTGGTGAGTGTCCTAGTAGTGTGAGGTGAGTGTCCTAGTAGTGTGAGGTGAGTGTCCAAGTGGTGTGTGGTGAGTGTCCTAGTGGTGTGTGGTGAGTGTCCTAGTGGTGTGTGGTGAGTGTCCTAGTAGTGTGAGGTGAGTGTCCTAGTGGTGTGAGGTGAGTGTCCTAGTAGTATGAGGTGAGTGTCCTAGTGGTGTGTGGTGAGTGTCCTAGTAGTGTGTGGTGAGTGTCCTAGTAGTGTGAGGTGAGTGTCCTAGTAGTGTGAGGTGAGTGTCCAAGTGGTGTGTGGTGAGTGTCCTAGTGGTGTGTGGTGAGTGTCCTATTGGTGAGTGGTGAGTGTCCTAGTGGTGTGTGGTGAGTGTCCTAGTGGTGTGTGAGTGTCCTAGTGGTGTTAGGTGAGTGTCCTAGTGGTGTGTGGTGAGTGTCCTAGTGGTGTGTGGTGAGTGTCCTAGTGGTGTGTGGTGAGTGTCCTAGTAGTGTGTGGTGAGTGTCCTAGTAGTGTGAGGTGAGTGTCCTAGTGGTGTGAGGTGA